AAACCGTGGCCTTTTTGCCATATTCAAATAAGGCAGTGAGCTGAGGTGAGGGTGATGTGGAGGCTGAGGGGCTAGCTGGGGGATATCAAACACCGGTTCCCCGAAGGGATGCATGTTATGGTTATTCAGTCTATGTATGGGACGGTCCAGGTGGCCGTGCTGAACATGGACCATAGGGCCGCCACCTTGAACGTCCGTATTGTTCGCTACATAGTCCGGAGTGTGATAAAACCGCGGAAGCACAGGGGAACCGGGGTTCTGCCTGGCGACGGGTCCTGGTCTTTGCTGCGGCATGAGGTGGTGTCTAGCGTTAACCTCCGGATCCATTTTCCCCCGGTTCCCGAATCGGTCTGAAAACACGTTCTGCTGAGGTAGCTGCTGGTCGACTTTAGAGCCGCCCATCATGGGCCCTTGGGAGCCACTTCGATTACAAGTGGAAAAATGACCCCCGACCACTTGGTTCCCCGTTTCACAATAGGGTAGTTTGCGCTCTGAAGAGTCCGCGGTGGAGAATGCTGTCATATCGAAATTTCCTGTCAGAGGATCACAGGGAAAACAGTGCTCTGATCCCCCCATCCTGCCCTGTGGGAAAAGCCTGTAATGTTCCAGTCTGTGTGTTTCAGGGGACGAGGACGGCAGGCCGTGGAACGACGCGGCGCGGTTTGGTGACTGGTCTAGTGGAAGACACGGCGCTGGAACAGCGTGGTTACCGTTTGGATGGCCGTGCGGTTGAAATTCAGGCATTGCGGCCATTCTCTGTTGCTGCTGCTGCGAGATGCATTCTCGCGACTGCGCCTCTACGAGCTGCTGACCAAATCCTCCTTCAAACATATGCGGGTGACCTGCGTTGTTGTTATTGAAGCCCATGAGTCTGTCCCCATGCAGGCAAGAGGGGATGCTGTCCTGGTACAGATGTGAATGCTGGTCGTGGTTAGGAGGTTGATGGTTGAACGGTCCTTGCATGTGGAGTTGATGTTGTGGCTGAACTCCCATAGCGAGCATATCCCCATGGCCATGAGTCTGGAACCCATACTGGTCTCTATTTGAGACAAAGTTGAGTCCCTGCATGGGGGATTCATTTAGAGGACCCATCATCGGCTCCACAGCTACCGACGGCCCTTTCATATGAAATCCGGAACTGTTATAATTAGAGTTCATTTTCAGTCCACTAGGATTAAATTCCTTTTGTTTGTTTGTCACTGCAAATAAAAAGACACAACTGAATCAAACAATGCTTTTTTTTGGTACTTTCAAATAAATGTTTTCCTTTTGTCTCTCTCAGGCGCCCATGTTAGCAATCGGTTTAAAATGTAAATATTATATATTTTCAATAACATCTTATAAAAAAATATATATATAATAAAGTTTACGTTTCACATGCATGTGCTTATTGATAAATATTTAAATGATGCGAAAGTATGAGATCAGATGACAATTGGAAGTACCTCAATTCCAGCATAAGCGTAAAAACGCGAACTCCTCTTTGTATGTCTTTAGAGCAACGACCCTGAAAAATGCACATCTTAAAAAAACTCCTCGTTTACATCATTATTCGATGCGTAACGTCTCCAAGTCGTTCAACACAAATCCAGAGGAGTGCAAACCAGCGCGCGGAGCACATGTCCCATGTTCACATCTCCAATGCAATGCGCGCGATCCAGACTAATTATTCTATATTAAAAACACTTACACGAATTCAAAAAAAGAGTCGATAAATGCATTAAATCGACGGTCCTCTGAGGAGAACTTCGAGCGTGCGTTCAGTCCTGTGAGGAGACTCGATGCACCGCTGTGGGTGCGCGCTGTTAGTAATTGGAGAGCCCTGGATCCCTTTTGTTGCCACAGTATGAAATATATTCAGCACAAAAATTAATCGCCATTTTCTTTAATATCGTCCATAAGATACGCGCTGTGCCATCAAATGCTTCTGTCTCCAGGAGGGTTTTCTCGTTTATCCTCGACTCGGATGTGTCGAGCCGCGGCAACGGCATCGGCAACAAGTTTGACATTCCCTCATCTGCTCCAGCGCTGATTTCTCACCAATGCAGACGCAGGCACACATGCGCAGGGGGCGGGGTCTGACGCACAAGGGGCGGGGCTTCGCTTAAGGAAGTCTAAAAAAAAGATGTAGCCTATATAACGTATTAATATATAAGGGATAAATAATAAAACAATGTGTTCAGTGATACTCGATTTTACGAACAGAGCTAGATTTCTTTACACTTCAGTGCTTATTTTTATTTTTACAAGGTGTACGATCAACAACACAGATGGCTAATAAAAAATAATTTAAATTATTTCATAATTTTGTATTAAAATTCTGTACATATAGATTTCATTTTTTACACTGGGATTCATTTTTCTCCCCACAATTGGCACATTATAAAAATGCGTGCATAGAAATACGTATTATAAAAATACACCCACATATGCTCGATGGTATTTAATTGTTCTACGTGTGAAATACTAGATCTCTTATTTATATACATTTAAGCAATTTAGGTTTAAATGCAGTATGGTATAAACACAAATCAGTGTAAATCTTCAGTCACTCCCAAATCCTTCATATGTAAAACAGCTCGATTCCTTTATACACGGCTACTGTAGTAAATATGCAGCAGTTAATTAGTAAATTAGCAGATGCATGAAACAGGCTTAATTTTCAAGCTGTGACGAATGGCAGCCAGAGATAATGAATGTCTCTTCAGGGTTAATTTCCTGTAAGTAACCGGTGATTGTGTTGTATTTTTAGAACTCACTGCTGCAGCATGGGTCAAATTATTTATCTTTACAACAAAAGTTTTTTAATGCATAGTGATTACAAAATTGTAGAAATAAAATCCCTTATACTACAACCTAGACTGTGTCCTGCAAACCCACTACAGAATGATACAACCATTAGGCCACTGAAAGGTTTTATGCTGAAATATAAGTGGCCATTTATTGATAGGTATGACTGGACATTAAAGTAATAAAGGGATAATAAATGGCAAGCCATAAGACTTATTGTGTAGGTCCCTCTGGTCTTTATAAGAAATCCTTACCTGTTTCTTTGGCAAAGCGGAACAGTGGCATCTAGTGCTGCTGTCAGGAACAAACACTGATGAGAACTAGGGAGAAACTCACATTAGACATTTCTGACCACAAATCACAGAAATAAAATAAAGCATTTAAGATCCTAACACCTTTAGACTAATGCTTTATTATTATTGAATTAGGATATTTAATCCTAAAATGACCTTATAGATTTCAATGATTTTCCAGACCTAAATACTTACAGGTATGCTTACAGGTTTTCCGTCGACTTGAATCTAAAGGTAACACATTCATTGAAGCATGCAAAACCACAGTGAAAATAAAACTCTAAATAAAAGACCAAGCATGACCGGAGTCGAAATTTATTAGATATACTGTTAATTGTTAAATTTATAACCAATTCGAAAGCTGCAGGGGAAAAACAAAAAAAAACAAAAAAAACATTAGAAATCACACCATTGTACATTCACTGATATTTCCCCTGATTTTCAAACAAACAATCAGAAAAACAGCACTCTGTAATTCCCCAAGAAAGAAAAAAAATAGATTCTCCAAGTGCGCAGATATGCTTCGATTACAGTATGATTCATTCATTATATCTGAAACCCTTGCCCATCTCAGTCCCCGCTAGCCTAAAAGCCATGAACGTGTACAAAAGTAAACCACACGATCCGTGAGACTCGAGACAGTATGTCAGAACAGACGTCAGTGCACTGATTACTCAATTATGATCTAGAGTACATTCGAAAAAAAAAAAAAGAAGCAAAAGTCAAAACCCGACATCCTCCCATCCGGATCTTAGAAGAGGAACACAGGTACGTGACAACGTCGCCTTGATCGCCATAAAGGTGCCGCTGAGGCCGAACCTGACGGGTTGCATGATTGCGTGAACATTCGTGGACCTTGAAATGAGAGGGACGTTAAGAAACAAAACACGCAAACCGAGAAGAACCGTGTTGTACTCCACATTCAGACTTGAAAACGATCACAAATGTGTGATTCTAACTAGACAATCACAGTGCGACAGGATCGCAGTTTCAACGCAGACATCAGGCATTGGTTTGCATGCGATGCGCAAACTCCGGCCGTCAGCTGTCCATGAAAGCCCGACTATTAAAACTAATGCACTGGCCACAATATATGATAAAAATCCGATCGGTCGCCTCTCGACAGGGACCGAGAACCATACACTGTATTATTAAAAACCTGTTAATAATAAACAATGAGATAAAACAGCCCTGCACTGCGGGTCAAGTGCAAACAGCAGAGATTCTTTTTTTTGCAAGGCTGGATGATCTGAGCTGGTGCAGGACGGCCAGAGACGAGGAGGACTGCGAATCTGACCTGGTACGATATAAAAACGTCACAAATATCAACCTCTTTAAAATGTGTTTATAAAGTCCTCCTCTTTATCCTAAGCGCCTGTCGAGGCCTCTACGCACACGTTCAGGTGCAGAGCTCAGGGTTCCCACACGTTCTGGTCAATCATTTTGCAGATAATGCAATATTCACTATATAAATATATCAATTATGATTTCATTAAAGAAAGGTTTTGGGGACAGAATGTCGATTGTAGAAAATTTCAGATTGTCCGTTTTTGTTAAAAAGCAAAAATAATGCAGGACTGGTCAATAAAGATTCAAGTGCACACTAAAACCACGAGACTTGTGCACTAGAATCTCTTACTGCCTGTGCCGTGACACCAAATTTAAATATGTTGTCATGACAACACTAGCAACATTTGCATAATATGCACAAGGATTCCAGAAAGGAGTCACTGTTTGCATGTCAGTAACCAGAGATTGATCCACCGGGAAAAGTAGTTACACCTCAGAAATGGCTATTTAGATTTACAACTTTATAGATCAAATACAAGAATCATCACACTTTAGCTTTTAAACGTCAACGTGGTTTACGTGCATTGCAACTTTGATAGTGAAATGCCGATTTTTGCTTTTTTTTTATTTTTTATTATTTAATGAGGGGAAACTGCTTTATGTATGCACACTTGTAATGAACAGACTTTTTTTTCCGGGCCTGGAAATCACAATTTTTCCCTGATATCTCCAGGATTTTCCAAGACCGTGGGAACCGTGAGAGCGTTACAGGTAGATTAGCAATATAAAAGCACTTTGCCTGTCCTAAAGCGACTCGAAAAATAAGAAAAAGCAGCAGCGGCAATTTGCTCTGGTAATTAGTCTGGATTTTGGTGAAAAGAACCTGAAGGGGTTCCAGAGTCCTGAGGGGTTACGTCACGCAAAGTGTCTTAAGAACATGCCTGAGCTCATGCAAAAGCCACTCGCGGCAAAGGTTTTGTGAGGTGGACGTGTGTTTTTACACAAAGGTGCATGCCGTGCAGTAGCATCACAAATTTTACTTCGAAAGGTAGGACTATGCTGATACGAAATGACAATCTACTAATTAAAACATGATTAGGGTTTTACAGGAACCAAAAAGAGGTGCTTCATCTGGGGGAAAGACTAAACACAGACAAGAAAATAAAGATCTGAACCATTACAAACAGATAAAACCCAACAAAAACACAAAGAATTGGTCCGATGCCTGCCAAAATTAAGTCGTTTTGTTTCTGAAATCGAATAACACAACCATACAGCAATACTCTTGATGTTTCTAACAAAGTGGAAAAAGTCACAGGATCAACCTGCATGAATCTAAAAACAGGTGGAGCGTGATGCGTGTCGACCCTGTCGGCAGGTGTGTGAGTACAGTACTGATCACTGTGTCATTCTGCGGTCTGCTGGTGGAGGAGGACGGCGCCGCCACTGGCCGGTTTGGTTGGATGCGGTGATGTCTTTCGTCAAGCGTCGTCGTGGTTGGATTCTTGAAGTTTAGCCTCATTGTTCGTGAGCAGCACTGGTGCCTCGAACCTGACCAGTTTTACGAAGCTATGAGAATGGGAGAAGAAAACAGTGACCGGTAAGAACATGGGAAAAAAAAACATAATTCGAGCAGCTTTTTCAATGCATGTTTGAAGCCAGCTGAATCGTTCCACATTTTTGTCCTAACCAGGTATGAAATGAAGAAGTTACCTATCGTGTGACGATCTCTACAATGCTAATTCAAGTTTTGGTGCATTTAGTTGGTTGCTTGGTTTCAACTGGTTGCATATAACATCATATATTCTTAAGAAAATGCATGGTGTTTGTCTACAGTGGTGTTAATGTTAACTAAAATGAAAACTATTCAAAATCATGTGCTATTTGAAGCATAGCCAAAATAAAATAAAATGCAAATATTAGATCAACTTACTCATAAATGTTTTTTAAACTTGTTTACTCCTCAGAAATATATAGAGCTTTTATTATTTTGTTAATGTTAAAAATGCAATTCATTGTTCAGGTTAGTTCACAGTGCATTAACTAACGCTAACTGATACAATTTTTGATTAAAAAAGATTGTGTGTGTGTTTGTTTAAATTAACATTAAATTAAAAAAAAAAGCTGTATAAGTAATGTTAACAATTGAAACGTTATTGTAAAGTGTTACCAAAATGTTGCCTTGGCAACTAATAAAATAAGTACTAAATTATTAGTACTAATAAAACTAAGACTGAAATAAAATAAATGTACACAAAATATTAAACATTAAATAAATATTAAAAAATAAACTAATAAAAATGCCAGAAGCAAATAACAATTACTAAAACTTAAAAAAAAAAACATTTTGAATTAAATTCAAATAATACAACAGAATATAAATAATACTAAAATAACACTGGGTTACTAAGGGCATCACATTTCTAGGTGGTTTCTTACTGACTCAAGTCAAAAGAGTTCACCCTTCAAGTCTCTAGATAGTATCTCAGATTTATTACACCCAATTTTCATCTACAAAATGAAAATAAGTCTGATTAATTAGAAACAAGATGCAAGATGATTTGAGGAATCACAAACAATGAGGGGCGATTTACATATTAAAGTTTAATACCTAGGTTATGGGTTTGTTTGAATCAAGTATGACTAACAGTAATAGCGCCTTAAATGTCACTAATTAGTTCTGATCGGCTGGATTTTGTCGCATCACTGCAGCATTAAGTTTTCATCGTGCCTGGTTAGGACACCGTGTGAATTGAAGAAACGGCAGGCGGTTTTATCACACTCACACGTGTACAAACGCACACTCACTCAAATCAAAGAGAGCAGAAACACACGCTCACATGCGCCGAGTACAAACACACTCTGGAAAAATCCACAAACACAAAAAGCGGTGATTAGAAACCAACACAGTGCAGAGAAGCAGCAATGGGGCGATGAGGAGAAATGAGAAATGGAGGAGAAAAAAAACAAAACAAGATTGGGCAGAGACGCTTGGAAAGAGCGGCCAAGGAGAGTCTCATCTCTTCCAGATCGTTTTATAGCAGAGCCAAACGCAGAGGGAGGGAGAATAACACAAATATGAAGCGGCTGTGCTCCATTCTGACTCTCAACAGATGCTGAATTTTTCTCTCGAGACGAAAGTCTATAAAATCAACTTCATAACTGCCTTTCAGACGCTGCAAGATCAACAAGATTCGAGCAGACAAAAACCACATGACCAATACGAAAATAAAGGAATATTTCACCCAGAAATTAAAGTTGTCATCTTTTGTTGTTCCAAACCTGCATGAGTTTTTTTTCTTCTGTGGAACACCAAAGAAAAGTTTAGCAGAACGTTCAGGATGCTCGTTTGAAAGTATATAATGGCTGTCAAAATCACAAAAACTCTATAATAGTAGTCCATTCAACTCTTGCACTATATTACAAGTCATAAAGTCAAATGATACCGGTTATGTGATGAAAAAACTTATTGTCTGAAACATTTCCTACATGCAAATATAAAAGAAACGAACAATTTTTTTTTATGGGAAGTTTTAAGATTTAAGAAAGTTTTTTTAACCATTTTTTGAAATTTTCCTAAGAATGAAACATTATAAAGTTTCAAACCTGCAATGCAACGATAAAAAAAAAAAAACAGATTGTTCACACATAGCTATCTTATGGTTTCAGAAGACTTCAAATACAGCACATAAGTCATATAAACTATTTTTATGATGCTTTTTCACAGCTTGTTAGCCTGTGGCCAATGTATGCTTTAATTGTATGGGGAAAAAAGTGGAGATTCTTCAAAAACATCTCCATGGAAGAAAGTCAGTCATACAGGTTTGGAACGACATGATGGCATTTTATGTTTGTATGCACTAACCCTTCATGACGAGAATACTGGAAAAGAAAAAGATGGCCATTGCAGCTGCTCCTGTAAACATCAACCTGCCTCCATTTAGAGAGAAGATCAACAACTCGACAGAAGAACGCTGCTTTTGGAAGCTACAGGCATTGGCCACCACACTTGCTTTAAACATCAAGAACGCCTCACAAAAACCCTCTTTTACCTTTCAACTGGAGTCTAAAACCATTAGAACTTGCAGATGAGGCTTTTTCAAGGAGCTGCAAACACCTGCTTTCAATTTGCGCCGTTGAGGCACTATTTTCCTCTGGCCTGAGCGAACGCTTTTGGGCGGTTCAGCCAGGAGTTTGTCTGAAATGACTAACACTTTAACTCGGGTTACATTCGTCCACCCGACAGCTGAGAGGAGAACACCAGAAGAAAAGTTAGTTGTGCTTAGCTGAAATGGAGGCAGTGAAGTGATGGGTTAGTGGGTGGCGGCGGATGAAAAGAACATGAGAAAGAATGCGCGATGGAGCGGCCGCCTTTCCTCCCGCACCACTTACGGAGTATCTCCACCTGCCTCGTGTTACTAAAAAGGATTCGGCTAATCTTCGGCTGCTGTCGTGCCTCGTACGGACCCCTTTTGACGCATCTAGAAACAAAACATGCTGTTAGGTGCAATCTTACCACTTGCTGATGTCCAGCTGGAAGGAACATCAAAATAGCCAATAACACAACATGAAAAGCATATTTCAATTAATCTCAGGTAGAAATAGCCAAGTCATTTTTTATAGGAATCAACCTACCTTGGCAAGGAATGTTTATTTATATAGCACATTTCAAACAATGGTAATACAAGGTTGTTTACATAAAAAGGAATTAAAATAATCATAAAATGACCACAACAGATGCATAAGAAATAAAATAAAAAATTATTGAAATTTTTTTTAATTAAAAATGTTTTTATGTAATAAAGTATTCAATTTAACCACATTATTATATTTATTAAACTATACTTAAAAATTATTATTTTGAAATTGCAATCAACTAATTTAAAAACTTTATTTCAGTACAACCTTGATATGGACTTAAAATTGTAACTTACTGAAAAATCTTAACATTTAAATTATTTTAATTTTTTTTATATATTACTTTAAAATGGTTTAAAAATAAAAAAGTGAATTAGATTAATTATTCCCGTTACAAGCTATTGATTATAGGGGAATGCCCCATATTTACATTTTTGGGGGAATTTTTTTTTTTTTAGATATTTTGTATTTTATTTTAAAATAGTTTAAATATATATACACGTGAATTAGATTATTTATTCCCATTACAAGCTATTGATTAAAACCAGGCTTTCTTTTCTTTATTTTAGGGAGAATTATGATGCATTTATAACTGCTTTTTTGAGAGTCAACCATTTAACAGTCGACTGTCAGCACAGAGGCAATGAATGGGTTAACGTTGACATAATCCTCACTGGAAACATATTCAACATCATTTCCATAAAAGAGGTTTTGAAAAAATATATACCCTGGAAGGTTTCTGTAAAGCACGGCAAAGCCAAAGTAAACTTAATTCGTCAAATATTAGTCCAAATACATACTTTCTGCTTTGCAACTGGATCGTAGCGGTGTAAAAAAAACGGTTTAATATAAAGTTTTACTACATATACTGCTTGTTTTATTAATGCCAGCCTTTACAACTGAAGGCAATTACAGATGAACTGGTTAGGAGAAAGATAGAACTCGTAACGTGACTGATGGGTTGACGGTTAAGGAATCACTTTATTGGTCTTGGCAAGCCGTCGCTTAAGAATAAAACTAATAAGCGACTATGCCTTCGGGATTTGGATGAGAATGTACTGATCGATATTTCCCAGGCAGTGAGGAGTTTGTGGTTTTCCTTGGCTGCATGCTGAAAGCGATCACAGAGCGTGTCAGAGTTTGGAGAGACTGCGTGCCGTTGGATCGTCATATTTACTGGGTAGAGGAAAGAATCTGGGCCAAATACTATACACTTGAGCTGGGACGCGTTCAACAAAAACACACAACTGAAAATAGAGAATATGAGCACGCTGCCAACGGTGACCAGCGGGAAAAAAACCCAATATAGCTCAAATCTGTAACCCCTTCAATAACGTCCAGAAGCCGGATTACATTCAGCGACTACTATTTTACGTCTACAGTCAAATAATGACCCCTGGTGCTAATATCACAGGTACTAATGTTTTATTCTGCTTATAAACGCCTATATTACGCTGTAAAATCTGTCCAGATGTACACTGTAGGCTGATGATGTACAGACTGTAAATGTATATTACGAATACAGTGCTTCTCAATAGCACACTGACCCGCTGTTATTTTATATTTTAACTGTAGACTAAATTTCATGACAAGAGACTAAATAAAACTAAAGCTTTCTTCGTGATTTCTTTATCAAAAGTTGCACACAATAGCAATAGCATTCAACTAGTGATCTCAATTTCAAATGGAAATGAATCAACTATTTTGGCCTCAATCATTTGGACAACTCGCTTGTTATCTTTATATTGAATAGACTTAATCCAGAGTTATCTAAACTAAAACCTTTTTTTTTTAATCTCTCTTTAAAATAAAATGAACATTAACGGAATTAAAATAAGGTAAAGGTTTTTTTTTCTTCATATTTTTATTTCAGCTAGTTACTAAAGCAACATTTCTAATTTTCTTGTAGTTTACCTAGAAGTAATATTTTTTTAATAATTTATTTAAAAAATTCAAATATTTTTTTTATAAAAACCTACATAGACATATTAAAATAATAAAAATGAGTAACAAAATGACTACAATTTTAACAAAAATTAAAGTGAAACAGATATTATAAAAATAAAATTTAAATTCAAAATATTTCCAAAACCTATAATCACTGATACTAAGACAACACTGTCGGGAACTAAAATTGAATCATACATTGAATTAAAATGAGTGTGAATGATTTGGACAACTCGCTTGCTGAATCAGTTGGAATGACAATGACATTTGCTCAATGAACCTAATTCAGCTATTTGTGGCAAGTCATTTTCAAAATGAGCAGTCATTTTATTTGAAAGCAATTTTAAACTAGTTTGAGAGGTTTGTGACATTTAAATCAGCCAAATTTTTATTTTTTTTTAGAAATGATAGCAATTCCATATTCTGATACTAAAGGCACAGAAATAAACCCTTTGACCTCTAAAAACCATTCATGAATGGACCAAAAACAAAAACAGTGGAAAGAACAGAGTTTCATGATCTGGACTGCTGGGAATAAGGAGGTCTGCCAAGGATGGGTGGGAACAAATGAAATTGAGGAAAATATTCATGCTTCAGACCATAATTCTGTGCAAATGTCATTCTCACCTCCTCCAGCTCTCGCTGCGTCTCCTGCTCCATCCGGCGGATGTCCTCCATGGTGAGCTCCACCCAGCTGTCAATCCAACAGAAGAGCTGACGGTGGAAGTTGGTGAAGATTCTCTTCTCTTGCTGCAAACGCAGAAAAAATACAGTCTGTTAATGCAAAGCATTGTGAGATGGGAAAAAAAAACATCTCAAATCTCATTGAAATTTTAGAGGCATTACTTGAGGTTTGATGTCAATGAAGAGACACAGGAAATGTTTTATATCACTAGCATCAAATATGGCACAATGCGCCTCGAAATTGTACATGTAATGTCGTGTAGTGTAATATGCACAAGTTTTTTAATTTTTGGACCATGACAGCATCACATGGGCCTGAAAAGGGGCACTTCGGACTGCTAAATATCTCTTTTTGTGTCGTTAATTATTCATATTTCCTGTTGTGAGCTAAATTCGCTACATGTATGTAGTGTTGTCAAAAGACCCGGTACTTCGGTACCGAGTACCCAGTCAACCCGGTTCTTGATGCGCCATCCGAAAGGTGCACAGATGCGCTCTCTTCATAAAAGCACTGAGACATGGCGACCTC